CACCATGCCTAGCCACTTGATGACTTTTGATGTTGAGTATCTTTTCATGTACTTATAGACCATTTGTGTATCTTCTTTGGAGAAATGTCCATTTGGATCTTTTCCCTATTTTTTTTCCTTTGCCTGTTTTTAAAATCATATTGTCCTTTTATTTTTGAGTTTGTGTTTGTTACTGTTTTGTGTTATGTATTTAAACACCTATAACTAGCATATTAGTATTTTTCTGGTTGAATAGCTAACTACAAATCTAACAGCTTTCACTGACACCTATTTATCAGTTGCAGGGCAGAGTTGTAGGCAGGTGTCAGCTGGTTTTATGTTCACCATCTTAGGCTGAAATCTGAAATTGTGTCAGTCCAGTTGGATTACTGTCTGGAAGCTCTAGGGGAAGTCCACTTCCACTCTCATGTTGCTGAATGAATTCATTTCTTTATGGTTGTTGAACTGACACCTAGCTGTTTATAGGAGGCTGCTGGGGCAAGGGGCATCATTCTGCTGTTAGAGGCTGCTTGCATGTCTTAAAGTCAGCAATAACACATTGAGTCCCATTTGTGCCAATTCCACCTTCCTTTTCTGCAACTATCCAGAGGAAACTCTGCTTTTAAAAGAGCTCATGTGATTAGATTAGGACTGTCTAGATAATTTATCTTATACAGACAGCTGCATCATAGCATAGCATAATGATAGAGGATACCACTCACCAAATCCATGGAGACTAGGCACTAATGTGGACTCTTCGGTTGGAAGAGGAGTGCATTTTAAAGTTATTCCTGCCACAGCTGCATTAGAAGTTTCTCTTAATTTCCATCTTGCAATTTTGGGTATGATTTCTCTTTGTATCAAGCGTTCTGATATTGCAGAGAACAGAGATGTCCTTAGGTTATTTGGGTGGTTAGAGTATATTTCAAAGTATGTTTGTGTCTCTTAGGCAGAATGGAAGTTTGCAGTGGCTGACCCTAGTGAAGCACATAGATCCATCACTCTCTCTCATGCAATCTTATTTTGGTGGTTCATTTTATTTCTTCTCTGATTATTTTGCCTGTTTTCTTCCACTGCTATAAAGCTTTGACTTGTTGATGGGCCTGTCTAGACTTCTTAAGCAACAGTTAGTACATGTATTTAGACTCACTTGGCTTGTTTTTGTATTCTGGATTTCCTATCTTTAGCTAGTTGTCTCTACTTCAAAATAGAGAGAAATGCCATTTCGTTTCCTAGATTTTGAGCATTTGTAGGATAAGATATTTAGTACTTGCAGTATATTTTGTGAAATAAATAGTAATGAAAATGTGTATGCTTTGTTTTTTCCTATCCCTGTTCTAAACATAATGGACTGAGTGAGCTGTTTATCACATAGTATAGAGTGCTGCCCTGGGGCAAAATTCTCATCTGGAGTCACTTTGGCAGTCATATTGATCTTCAGAGAACTCATCTGTTGTTAAGGGCAACCATGGTGTCCTGAGTATGGGAACTATTTAAGGAACTGCTTTCAGTAGAGCTTCCAGACTCCTAACACATATTTTCATTAATGTGAAGTGGGTGGTTAACCTTGACTCATTTATGGTAGTGATAGATTTATAATTTTTCTTAGAAACATACTACTAGTACTTATACTCTGTAGTTGTTTGATGGAATTATTTTACTTTGTAAATGTTTTATTTTGTTCATAAATCAGTTTTATATGATTATATTTTATCCCATTTCTCTATATTTAGGATTAAATTTAAAAAAACCTTTTTTTTTTTTCCGGTCTTTTTGAGATTCTCCCCCCCTGTACTTATACTTGTTTGATGGAATTATTTTACTTTGTAAATGTTTTATTTTGTTCATAAATCAGTTTTATATGATTATATTTTATCCCATTTCTCTATATTTAGGATTAAATTTAAAAAAACCTTTTTTTTTTTTTTTTTTTTTTTTGGTCTTTTTGAGACAGGGTCTCCCTGTAGCCCCAGAGATCTGCCTGCCTCTGCCTCACAAGTGCTGGGATTAAAGGTGTGCAGCACCATGCCCAGAAGACAGACTCATTTTTAATGCTACTAACACTTAGATGTTTGCACATGCATCTCTAATCTCTATGTACCTGATTATTACTAGTCACAGTTGATTATGTTCAGATCCTTGGCACCTGAGTATGGATATAAAGTCATTTCAATGGTAATGTTTATCACCTCTACTAATTAACATGAAGTAA